AGCGAAGGCTGCACTGGAACGTGTGCACCCACCAGCAACTAAGGTCATGGAAAAATCCTTCATCAGGTGGGCTCAGGTTTCATTCACAGGTGCAGCCCTCATCATGTGTGGATTCCCTACACAGATGGTAGGAAGCACCAAGGCTTCCAAAGCACCAGCAGCTCAGCCAACTGTGGATGGAGAATGGCAACTTCTAAATTCCATCTGCTCCTTTTTTGTCGCCTTCTGTACTCAGAAACACATTCATCAGAAGCACAAGCACACTGGGACAGTGACAAATTTTACCATCTCTGGCTTGTCACTTCAACAAGATTAGATTATTTTAATATTAATTCATTACCCAATTTAAATTCAATTAAATACATTTTTGCAAGGCCCTGACATGGCAGTGATGGTGGGGACAGCCTCAGCTGAGTGCCAGGTGACAGCATCTCTCTCAGGGTCAAACACCTGCCTCTGAGTGAGACTCCCCAGTCCTTCATCAAAGACCCCCTTTTCCTACTTTTTCCTAACAAGGGAGAAAGGACACTGAAACTACTGAGATGGATGAATAGCTTTCATTTTTGGTGGGATTATGTTCACTTCCAAAATTCTCCACAGATGGTTGAAATCAGAGCTGATTTCCCCATCTTCCTTCCTGGTAGGGGTGCCAGCCTGTCTCTCACCAGAAAGAATATTAAAAGCACTTTTTCTCACAGGAAGAGCCTGCCTGAAGTAGGGAATGCTCCACTGTACCTACGGGATAGCAATAAATCATGACTGCTCATGGAAAATTCACATTAGTGCATTCTTTTAGTCAGGAACGAGCTTCCACGGGTCATCCATTCCTACCTTCAGATATACTACCTTTAAGATGAGAACACAAATGGAGATAACGAGCACCTGAAGCATTCTCTCTCATTTCTACCTCTGCTTTGCTACAAGTCATTACTTCTGTCAGCTCCCCATTAGCTGCCACCTACATATTTGCTTGCAACTAAGATCCAAATCCATCTCTAGGAGTGTCAGAAATCAAGAGGCCCACCAGGACCACACAAGACCAAAAGAAAGGAAGATCTAAACAAAAATTGCCTGGAGAGAAACAGAAGAAAAAACAGGAGAAGCTATGGAGCTGGAAGAAAAAAAGTAGAAAATGCAGACTGAAATACAGAAGGGGGGTAGAGGGGGAAGGTGTGAAGAGTACAGGAAAGAGAAACGCAAAACTGGAACAGATTCCAAATCTGGGCAGCTATGCCCTGCACCACCTTTCCAAAGCTGTTACAATCTGCATCCCTGCTTCTGAGACAGCAGGACTCGGAGCCTCTCCCCAGATGGCCGTCTGACCTTGGTGCACCCTGCTCTTACACAACCCGGCCCCGAGCAGCCACCGGCAGAGAAACGCAACACCCAGAAAGGTACAGCCCCTGCCCGGAGTGCAGCAGCCACACACCTGCCCTGCCAACACAACACGAGCCTGAGTGCAAACTTGTTAGTTTGATAAAGGACGGTGTGTGTTCCTTGCTCACGCTGTTCAAAGTTCCCCCTGCAATAGCCCTGGTCCCCATCTGAACAGAGACTGTTACGCCACAAAGGAGAGGAGAGGAGAGGAGAGGGCCACTCAACGACGTGGCAAGTTGCCAGGCTGTGCTGCAGCCTCCAGCGGTTATGCTCAAAGAGATTTAAAGTCCAGCATAACCTTGATTTTTAATAGAGTCACATTTAATGAGCTTTAACGTCCACAGTAATAATTTTCTTATTACCTATCCAGGAGTCGGAACTATGATCAGAAATAACGTGCTGCACTCCAGTCCAATGAAGGGATTTAATAATGGCCAATACATTATTATCAAAACCATCAACATCATTGTCCTTAATGCCTTTTTTTGGTTGGTATATTTATAATTCTGTGAACCACAAGTGTAGCTGTTGCAGACCACATAAGCTTGCTGGACACAGCAAACCTGACTGGCCACCCAAATCCCTCACCTCTGCCAACTGGCCAGTCAGGTTATATGGCAAAAAAGGACAATAAAATCTTACATTTACCTATATTTATCTAAAGTCAAAATGAAAACTTACATATGACCTTTGTTCTCTCAGCTTTTATCCACACTCTTCCTACTCTGTCCTCGCTCTCTCTTCATCCCATTCATCTCTGACACAACGGACCTCCCACCCCAAAAGCTCAGAGAACTGAATTTCCCTCTTGCCTGTGTTATACGAATGAGCTGGATAAACAGACAGATGGGTCTTGCAGTTGACAGAAAGGGGTGCAAGAAAAATTCTAATTCTTGTTCTTTTTGTACAGACGCAGCTTCACAAACCTCACTGAAACCTGCTCTCTTATTATGCACAACAAACATCCCTCCCTGGGGCAGCCAACTGCACAGTGACAAACAGAGCAGAGGGAGTTTCTGCCACACTCTCCCCATTTCACACCTTGAAAATACACTGAAGTGGAAGGCATATGGCAGCTGCTCCTGTGGGCAGAGCTGTGGAGATCCTAAGAAAACAGCAAAAGCTGTATCTTCCATTTCTTATCCAGAGGGAAACAGTGTGAATTTTCTGGCCATGTGAATCCATGTTGTTAAGCCACTGCTGAACAGCTGCTGCATCCACACTGCAGATGCAGGATGGAGTCAACACAGAAGCGGATGCAGCTTCCACAGCACACTCGATGAGCTGTCCCCCAACCCACCAGGAGCTCTCCCTCCCCTAGCAAGAAGGACAAACATGGTATTCACCTGGCTAATTTAAAGCCAGCTCAGAATCACCCACTAACCTTGCAGTCAGAGCCCTAACATCCTCAGCATCTCTTGTACATCCCAATACACACAGTCTTCACTCTCCAGAAAGGAGAGTTTAGGCATATTTATGGCAGTGTGCCCCCATGCATGACAGTGATGCACACAAGCACACGAAATACAAGGAAAAACACAAGATCTTTCCATATAACCTGACTTACTAAAACCTTCACCCTGGTCTCAAAGAGAGTCATCCACAGGGCTCCTTCACTAACAGCTCTTTTTCCACTTTTTGTTTACAAGAACCACTTCCCTATGCACTTCTAGGCACTCTGAGAATGCAAAGGGCCCTCCTGTGACTGTAATAAATGACACTGAAGTATTTCCCACCCTGCTAGGCTCTGCAGCTGATGTTCTCTCCCATCTGAGCTGGTGACCAGAAGTCAGAACGATGTAGCTTGGGACTGGATAAAAGGAAAAAAAAAAAAGCATCATGTATGTGAGGCTGGAAACACCCTGAAACCCAGTGAGCTGTTTGTTTTCCTGTTGGAATCAAAGGCAGAAGAGAAAACAGCTTTAAAAATGCATCCCTTCCGAGCTAACGACAAACCTGGTAACATCCCAGCACAGAGGCACCTCACAAACAGCTAAAAACAACCACATGAAAGGCAGCAGAATATTAACTCTGACTAAAACATCACAGGAGGCACACGTGAGAAACTCATTCCCCCAGAAGAGATGGTCTAATTACTGCAGATGATACCCCAGAGGTTCATTCATCAGCAGCAGAGACACAGAGCTGACCTCACCTCTGCAGCCTCTCTGGCCTCCCTGGGCACTGCCAGCCTGGTGGACCCGCAGCATCAGATGCGCCGGGTACCCGGAGACACAACGACAGACAAGGACATCTGGGCAGCAGCATCTACTGCAGTTTAGACTCCTAAAACCCAGTGCATTTCAAATTCCAATTGCAACGAATGAACTGTCCCCAAGAACTGCTCGGTGGGGGTCTCAGACTGGAAGCTCCCACGGACGACAATGGCCTCTCCTAAATGTTTGCCAAGTGCTTCATGCTTATGCATTTGTTAGAACATCCACTAACAGCAGTGACAGGCTGTCACTTACCTCCAACATCCAGTCAGCTCTTCACTTTACAAACCACCCCATCTGCACTTCTCACCATCATATTTTTAAGGCTATATAGTGCCATAATCCACTATGAGATGCCAGAACGAACACATTCTCTGCAGTAATAAAGTGCCATTATTTGAGCGATGGGAAAACAAGCAAGCTGCTTTCTGAGAATTTTGGTTTCATAACAGTGAAAAATATTTTCTTCTGCCCTTTTGTGGGTCTGAAGTCTCCAGCACATGTGGCCTTTGAGAAAAGCTCTGCTCTCTCAGCCTCATCTGAGGGAGGATCTTGACCTCCAGACACTGAACACGTACGTGCAGCTGGAACACACCAGGTTAGCTCCACATGGACCTTCAGCTCTCTTTTATTTTTCTCTTCTCTAATAAAATTGTTTTGAGGGCATGGGAGAGTTACAGCAGTAAGATTTCCTGGGCTCTGCAGTATGACTCGGTTCTGCCTGGTCCCTCGCAGTGTTGCAGGCTTTACTGATACCCTTACCTTGATTTCCAGAGTCTGAGAGAATGTTTGGAGGTGTTGATTTTGGGGTTACTTTACTAAAAAGTCTCATTTAGGTATGTGAAGGCAAGAAAGACTGTACTGGAGAACCACAGATTCTGTGAAACATATTTAGCTCAGTGAAAGATGTACTCTGCTTTCATGGAGTATTGAATGTAGCTCTGATTAATGGGGCACATATTCACTGATAAACAATATTAATTTGTTTTAAGCCAGGTCTGAAAAGATTTCAACCACTTGCTTCCCTGCAGCTATGAAAGTTATTTCCTGCTGTCTGTACTACCTCAAGGGCTAAACCAGCCCTGAAAGGAAGGAATTATTTCCTTTCACTCCATCGGCAGCACCAGCCTTTGAGTGCTGTTGTATGGGTATTTCATTTATCAAGAGCAAATTATATGTATTATTATTATTTAGCCTTAACACCCACCCTCAACCAAACTGCCACAGGATTGCCAACACACATTCACTTTCTCCTGCATCAACACAGCTTTTTTCATTTTCCTTATAACCACTCCATCAAGCACACAAAGCACACCGTCTGCAACGTCTCCATCTGCTTCTGTAGTCAGTTCCTTTGGCAACATGGATGAATAAATGCATCTTCAGGACCAGAAGCCAGCAGCCTACCTGCAACTTCTTGTGGTGACTGAAAACTCCCAACTCCTTCCAGATTGCCAGAGATGGAGCCTCCTCCTTCGAGCACCCTCACCATCTCCCTCAGCTTCTCACACTCCTCCTGGAGCTGCTGCTGCTCCTCCTTGCGCTGCTGCTTGGCCAGAGTTGTTGGGTTCATGCTGAAATGAAGAACTTTGGTTCTGCTGGGGTCATAGTCGCCCTGTGTGGCAGAAAGAACAGAACAGAAGAACACTGAGTAACTGATCCAACCCCTAAATCCACCCAGCTTGTTCTGCTCTGTGAAGGCAAAAAATGTTACAGCAGAAAAAAAAAAAAAAAAAAAGGAAAAAAGGTGACATTTATGCAGTGACAATGTTTTGATCCAACAGTTGAAGTCAGATAAACTCGGTGTTGTTTCTCCTGCTCTTTCTACTCCATCTTTAAAAAAAAACACTCAAAACAAAACAAAAACAGAAAAAGAAAAAAAAAATTAAAAGAACCAAACAGACCAGAAAAAAACACATAGTAACACCCCACTCAACAGAACTTGCTCCCTGGCTGACACCTCCATGGTTAAATTTAACTCCAGAAATTAGGTTTTATAGCTGTATTTTAAATCTCTTGATAGCAGGAGACTATAATGAACACCCAGATACACCCTTAAATTACAGTAGGACACCCAGTACCAGCCTGATTTACTGCTCATATGAGCCAGCAACATCCATGTGACTCCAAAGGTGGAGTCATTAGCAAGCTGTATCAGCTTGTCCCAAGCAAGGGAACAGATATTCCATTCTTTCTTCTCAGAGGTGAGTTGTATTTACAGCAGTATAAATAGTCAGTCAAGTCCTATGATGGCAAACTAATATTCTTTCAAAGAGAGAGGAAAACACTGATGTTACATCTGTGATTTCAGAGAGACAATTTTCATATAAACTACAGGAACCCTCACGACCATAAATGTTGTAAAGCATGTGCTGCCACGGCACTCTACCCAGCTGAAACCTATAGCAGTGTCTGCATAAAAAGGTATTTTATATGGTAATATTTTTCCTTCAATTAAATCTCAGGACCTAAAGTGATTTTGTAAACATTAATTAATCCTCAAGAGCAGCATGAGGTAGGTATTATCCCAATTTTATAATTTCATTTCCATTAAAGACGTGCTAGAACTTTATGTGGGAGTTTTTTTCAAGCACGTCAGAGCAGAGACTGAGCAACTTCACCCTGCATTGCTTCATCCTGATCCTCTGGTCATTGCTGGTCAGAGACCCCAGAAGATCCCATTTCCAAACATCTTTTGTTGAAAATACTCTATTCACATACTGTAAAGCTCCTCAGCAGGCAGTGATCTGCTGAAAATTGCTGCCCCAGAGCCTGGCACCAGACATAAAACTGCTTAAAAAATGGGCTTGACAAGTTCATGGACAACAATCCCATAACTGGGTCATGCCAGGGGAGGGCAGGGGAGGGCAGGGGAGCATCCTCCAGCATCTCTGGCTGCTGGGAGAGTGGACAAACTTGTGGGCTCTCACAGAATAGCAGCTTCCATCATCGTGGTCAAAGATGCTTTTCTGGGCTTTTTTACCTTGGCCACGAGAAATTTAGGTGAGAACTGAAGGCAGCATCTTGGAGATGTCAAACGGAGGGAGAAACAAACAGAGGGAGAACAAAGTCAGCTGCAACACCAACTTATTAGATATATTCTCCCCAGCGACACACTGGCATTTACAAACCTGTTTCTGCACCCAGCTCTCTACCTCCTCGTGCTATTTGCACTTCAAGACTCTTCCAGACAGGTCAGGGCACTCCTCACTCTCGTGTTTGTCTTTCAGGGGAAGAAATTCAACCCCGAAGTTTGGGATGGGGTTTATGCTGGCTGGCAAAAGGATGCTCTCACTATCAGCACTGCAGAGCCTGGTTCTCCCTGCACAGCTGCTGCTTCTGACCAGCCAGGAAGGACAGCTCTGGCTCTGCCTCCCTTGCCAAGGTCAGGTGGAGCTCACAGCTCCTTGTCCCAGCTGCCACCACCATTCCAGCTCCAGTGTAGGGATCACCATCACTGCAGACACTCACATGTGGCACGGGGCAGCAGCATGATCCTGGTGTAAGGAAAGCCATGCCCACATTGCAACCCACACTGCACCAGTCTGTTTTATTTTTTTAGGTTTTTTTGCCTTTACTATCATCTCTCTGGCCTTTCTATAAAGCCCTGCCATGAAGCTGCAGTGCTTTGACTGTTACAGATCTTTCAGACTATTTATCCTCTCCTTTCACAACGTGCCCCCCTTGAAAAATCATGCTCTAAAACTCAGCACCAGGACTCAGCCTTATTTTTGGGGTTCACCAGCTCTCCCCAGCACATCATTCTGCAGCTACACCAAGACAGGCAAATCTCTTAAAAGCCCATAGTGAAAGGAAGGCTGTGGCAGAATCCATCTCATTTAACATTTCTGGGAGATCACTAACATATTTGCTATGCTACCCACACTTTTGGGCTAGGGGCAGCAGCTTTCTCTTTCTTTTACACAGCACACATCAAACCAGTACATTTCTCCCTAAAGCTAAAATATTAGTGCAGCTGGTTTATATTACAGCAACGCCTAAAAGAAACCAAGCGAGACAGGGATCCCAGCGTGCCAGGTCCTGCACAAACCCCACAGGAAACTACCACCTAAAGCCCAAAAAGCAGACAACAAAGCCTGAAGTCTGGTACGTGAGGGGAGGGCAGGTATGGAAAGACGCAGCTCCCAGTGACAGATTCCTCAGCAGCACTGTGGCAGACAAGAAAATAAAAGACACCTCCAAGAGCTGCCCCTCCTCACCACCAGAACGTGCTGCTGCCTTACACAGTCACGCCAAGCAGAGCGTTACTTGAGTCTCCAGGAAATTTACTGACATCCTATAGAGTTTCAAATAAACGCAGGAAGCTTTCCATGGAAACGCTGCAGACCAGAGGCAGCGTCTGATGAAAGGGATCAGTGGCATGTGTAGGTAATGCAGAAAGTCAAAAAAAGTATCACAGCTTCGATCATCTGGAGCGTTCTTCCAAATTTCTGAAGGCTGGAAGTGACTTTGTGTGGTGAAAATGAGGGGTTTGGGGTTGGCTCGAGGAAGAGTCATGGCTGGAAAATGCTAAATATAACAGGCAGAAAAGCAGCATTAAAATCTCACCAGCATTTGAAATACATGAAACTCTAATGCTGGTAGGAAACCAGGGACTGAAGAAAGCAAACAACCTCCTCCTGGAATCCCTTTAGCTTTGGAAAATGTAAATTGCTGTTTTTCTCTGTCAACTGCTCCTCTCCCCACAATAAATTAGTCTTACTGATCATAATTTTGTCCTTTCATTTCGGCAGCAGAAGTCTGGAAAATTGTGTTTCAGGCACTGGGAGAGACCTAAAACAGATCTGCCCATTTAGAAGATAATTTCTCATCTTGGGTCGCTGAAGAGGAACACCAAACAGTGGCATTTGAAAGGCGGGTACAGAAGAGACAGCCACGTTCCCTGAACAGGAGCTGGGACTCCCTGAACAGCTGTCCAGGCACAGCTCCAGATGCTGCTTCTGTGTTGCACCAACACATGTAAGGAGGTATTGCCTGACAAAGTTAAAAAGCATCGTGGAACAAACAGTAATGTATCCCTGGTTTATCCAAGAAACATGAAAAGTGCTGCAGGTTTGGAAACTTGGCCTGAATGCAAGACTTGACCAAACCCACTTAAGCTAAAGGTGCCTTTATACAGAAGTATGAGACATTTGGGGGATGCAATCCAGGAATGACCTATAGACTATCACTCTTTTGGAAAGTCACCCTGGTCGTGGCTCATTCAGTAGGTAACTTGGTAGCTTGTTCTGCTCATCAGCACATCACGGCCAGTGAGCGAAGATGATACATCACTACCAGTTTCTCAGCAGTATCCCCTCTTTACCCCTATTTTACCCAATACCTTAAAAACTGAAATCTGTGGAGCTGCTGAAGAGTAAATGACTTGGAGAGTCAGAGAGAACTGCTGGCATTCATTGATTCTTCTTTCAAGGAATAACATTGAACAAGTAATTCAGATTTGTCAGAAAAATGTACACAGAGCTTCAATTTAGGGCGAAGCAATAAATACCTTGATTGATTACAACCGCGTCTGGTTGACACTCAAAAGAGTGAATTATTCATTCCTGGAAAGCAAGATGCTAACTAGCTGATTTGGTGCTTAAGGCAGCAAAACCATTTTTGTGCTCTCAGAAGAGCACCGGACATTTTACAGAGATGATTTGTTGGCTCCACATGTTAATATGCTCTACAATTTGTGAAATAATTCTGTTTTGATGAATTATCCTCAGCCTTCCAGGCACATGCCCCAGGGTATGCACAAGGGAAACTCTCTCACGGACCACTGAGAAGAACCATCCCACTGCTCCCGTCCCAACTGCACAGTCACTGTGTGAGACAGACACTGCATATGCCACACACAAATATTGGCTTAATGCAATATGTTCCAAGAACACTCTGAGACATGGCAGAACTATTTAATAAGACTCTGGCTATCAATAAACTTTCTGACAAAAGACTATAGAAAAAATAATTTGCAACAGGGCCAATTTGTCATCTAGAACAGAGGTACAAGCTCAAGTCAGATGCTGCTGCCTCCCTTCTCACTTCCATCTCCCAGCTTGAAAAAACCACCCCGAGGAGATAATTGTGCTGATGCTATGTGTCATTTTTTAAAACTATATTATCGGCAAACAGTCAGCATGTTGGTCTATGTGTTGAAATTACAGCTCAAAAACTTCCCAAGTAATCTGCCCATTAGGGAAGAATCAGTCAAGTGCCAAAGCAATGAATGAAGACAGGACTGCTTTAATCTCTGGAAAACAGAAACTTTTCCTTTAGAAGAGAAGTTGTTTAGAAGAACAATGAAAGCTGCCAGTGACAGCACCTTGAAAAGGGATGAACTTATTTTGGCATCTCTCCTCCTGGTTGTTTGAAAACTGCACAGTCCCAATTCAGCGATGTCTTTCTCCAGGAGCTATAAAAGCTTTTCTCTCTACTCCACTCACTTTCACAGGCACACAGGTAAGAATAAAGTACTTAAAACCATGTGGACTACTTTCCATTTGATGAAACATTCAGTGCTTAACAGCTCCATTTAAGATCCATTCATCTACCGCAGGTATTTCTGATCAGAAGGTAGAGCTGGTAGCAAAGGGAATAATCTCCACTGGT